CCCCCTGATCCGTAGTGGCTGTGAAGGCATCCTCTTCTTCCTACCGAAGTCGATCACCATCTCTCTGGTCTTGTTGACATTCAGCCTCAGGTGATTCTGTAAACATGTCACTGTTATATACAGTTATATACAGTTATATACAGTTATATCACAGGATCTGGTAAAGTCAGCATAGGTTAGTGGGCTGAGGTTTTTTTTTGTTTGTTTTTTTATTTAAAAAACATTTTTATCTTACATTTACACTTTTGTTGGCAATGTAAAAACCCACGTGTACACACTCCCATACAGTAGGGGGCGGTATGCACATTCAAAGTAATCGAATAAATCCGCCATAAAACTAAAAGGAGAAGAATAAGCAGAAAAAAAAAAAAAACAGAAAAAAAAAACAGGAAATTCTGCAGAAACGAAAAGTTCGAGTCGTTTTCAAGGCAAAGGTGGGTACACTGGAAGGATAAAACCTTCTTTGTCAGACATAGTCTGTGCTGTGCTGATGAGGAGCGTGTTTGCCGCCTGCTGTTTGGGTCAGTATCTTTCTTTTCATCGCTGTTTAGCACAGTCAGCTTGAACAGCGTCAGTTCCGCATCCACAGGCATGACTAGTCCATCAAGTGACAGCATTGCCCACTTTATTTATTGTGTGCTGGGGATTGCCTATAACTTCTCTGCTGTTAAATCACTTTGACGACGACGACGGCGTTTTAATGTTAGCTAAGGTTCCACTTTAGTTAGAAACGTGTGGTGCTAATTATGAAGCACAACCAGTGAGTTACACGTTACTTCCCATGTAACGCTAGGTGTAGCTTTACCTCATTTCAGAGGGAGTCCAGCGCCAGTGAGGAGCTAAAGCTACAAATAGAGAGGTGTCGAGGCCTAAATGTTACAGTTTCTGCACCTCTACTTCTACATTTTACACTTTTAAATCACTGGGTTATAAGTTATAACTGTGTACACAGTCATAAAGTTACCTAATGAATATAGCTGCACTTGTGCTGATATGTTATTTGGTGTTAAGTTGCAAATAGAAAATATTTCATCATATAAGGGGATACCGTGACCAGTAAAATAGTGTTGAACTCTTGAACGTGTGTTACCAGTTAGTTGATAGGAATTATCTTTGGTGTGTTTGGTAATTTTTGGTGATGTAAAACAGAATCAAAACAGAAACCACGCCACCACAAAATTCACCTAAAAGAAACCATCAAAATGATTGTACGGTTAAACAGTAAAACCAGTATGCATTCAAACTAAAAGGATCATTCTAGATAGCTAAAATGATAAGTCGATTGACTTCATCATTTAAAAACTAATTGATTATTCAGTAATGACAATAAGTAATAGTTAAATCATCCTAAATCCCCATAGGGACGCTTTTAGCACCATGTCCTCCATACAGTATGTACTCCTGTGTATGTACCATTACAGTATCTTACGGTAGGGAATAGTAACACCTCTGGTGTTTTAGGAGTTAAGGTGTCTCTGGATATGTGCTGGTATGGAACCTGGCTGTCAAACCTAGGTCAAATATTTGTCTTTATAGTTATTATTTTCCCTTTTCTGTAGATTCATGGTATGTTATGTATTTCAGTAGGAGATGGTTGTTCCTTGCCTGTGATGTTTGATGCAGTTTGCACCACTTTGTCTAGCTGTTCCCTTGAGCTTAGGTGTGGCAATACCTGTCCATGTCATTGAGGAATGAGGATGCTCTCGATACCAGCACGATAAAGTCATATCAGAACATGCCGTGATACGAAAAAGGTTCTCAGCTGTCCAAAATAGAATAGACTTTGCTGAGCTTTCTTCAGCACCGTTGAAGTATTGAGTGGAAATAAAGATAAAATAATGGATCTTTTCTTCTTTTTTTTGTCCCATTCTCCACAGCAGATGGCTTGCTTTGACAGCAATAAGTGCAGTTTGGAGGAGGACAGCTATGAAGGAGCTGTTGGGGGAGAGCTGTCCAACTGTGCGTTGGCAATGCTGGAAAAGGAGCGGGAATCCCTTCTCAGCCCTTCAGAGAGCCCTGGCACCTACATCAGCAGCAACACTAGTCTTCCAGCTGCTGCCCCCGTCCAGGGCTATGACGTGGAGTTTGACCCACCCTTAGAGAGTAAATATGAGTGCCCTATCTGCCTCATGGCGTTGAGGAATGCCATTCAAACACCCTGCGGCCACCGTTTCTGCAAGAACTGCATTGAGAAGTCCATTCGGTATGCTATTTTGCAGCTCTCTATATAATAATAACGCAGGTCTAAAATGCATTTGTTAACACCATCTTCATGGCACATTCTTAAAGAGCTGTTAATTCTTTATTAGTAACACAGCAATCTGTCAAATGACCAAGTAGTAATAAAAAAATGTAGTCCAGGTACAGTATGTGTCTAAATGATGCAGTATTTTCACTGACACTAGCTTTCCTGCTCAAATATAAAGCATCATGCATAACCTGATAATCTTAATGCTCAGCTTAAAGGACTGCTGTTCTTCCTCTTAAAACAGTGATACAGGACAGAGGTGCCCTGTGGACAATGAAATGCTGTCAGAAGACCAGCTGTTTCCTGATAACTTTGCCAAACGCGAGATTCTATCACTAACTGTTCGCTGTCAAAACTCCGGCTGTGCTGAGAAAATGGAGCTCCGACATTTAGAGGTAAAAAGAGTGACTTCCATCTCTGACACTGAATGCACCTCAACTGAGAACACAGAATGAGGAAAGTGAAAGATCCAAAATACATGATAAGACCATAATTAATTATGTAACATGTTGTCATCATTTATGGTTGATCCATTGACCAGCAACCAAAGAGTGTCCTTGTTCATGTTTGGATTGTATCTTAATTTCAGCGTTGAGTATAGTCATATGATTGTAATTTAACAAAAAAAAAAAAAAGAACTGGCGCAATGAAATGACTTGAAAAGAAAACGGGCAACAAGCAAGACACAGACAGCTCAGCTCACCACTTCTCCTGTTGACACCATCATATTCAGCACAGACTCTTCCTTCTCACTGTTCCAGCATATTCTCACACTGTTAGCACCTAATCAACAGCCAGTAATGAGGGAAAGACATGCACATGCCGAAATGCTGATAACTCCAATAGACCTGAAGAGATCGTTTGTCAAGGATCCCTGTAGATGCGACACATCTCCAGAAGTCACTGACGGATAATGAGCGCTATCACACTGTGTGCATCCTTGTTTTTGGCATAGAAAAAAATGGGCTGGGTGTCAAGTGAAGACATCTTCCTCCGGTGTGGACGATGGAATTGTTATATATGTGAACCACAGCTGTCCTGCTACAGAATAAAATGAATTGTATTGTTTCAATGTATTGTTTTCCTTCCAGAACCATTTGGCACAATGTCAGTTTGCCACTGAGCCTTGCCCACAATGCCAACAGTCCGTGAGAAAGAGCCACCTCGAGGAGCACATAACTGTTGAGTGCCAAAGGAGACCTGTGTCGTGTCCAGATTGTGTGGCAAGCTTTGTTTATGAGGATAGAGAGGTATGTTGACTCACTTATGTAATTGCTCCACTTGCGTCTTCCAGAATAGTTCTCATAGGAAAATCTCACAGCTGCATTGTGTATCAGTGAGGATTAGTCTCCTTACAATCTGGTTTCGGTTACTCCTTCAGCTCCATGAACAGCAGTGCCCTTTTGCCAGTGTGACTTGCCAGTACTGTGACTTGGATCTCATCAGAGACCAGGTGAGTAATACAGTGACAATGAAAAAGGCCTCGAGTAAATCAAAATGTTTTTATAGTTGTGAATTATTAACTTCTGTCAACAAGAACTTCTCTTTTATTTAAACAATGGAGAACCATTCCACACAGTCACAATACATGTCACAGTTGATGTGAAAATGATGCTTAAAAGTCTTTTTTAATGTATGAGAAAGGAAGTGAATTATTTCCCCGTTATGTTTGTCCATATTTATTGTTGAAATATTCCTTTGAATGAAGCTCAGCTGATGATGTTTTTGTTTCAGATGGATTCTCATTGTGACACAGATTGCCCAAAAGCACCCATCGCGTGTAACTTTAGTGCCTTTGGATGTAAGGAAAGGGTAGGTGATCAAATGCAAAGTTTGTTGTGTTACAAATCTCCCACACATTGTCGAAAGAACAGTGAGTGAGAACTTGGTTTGTTAACTATTAGTCCCATCAGCGCTGCAGACTACATGTCACAGAGATGAATTGTTTGCCTCCGCAGATGCAACGCCACAACCTGGCTCAGCACATGCAGGAGTTCACACAGATGCATATGCGCTACATGGCTGACTTCCTGCGTAGCCTTAGCCTTAACGGCACCACACCCAAATCCCTGTGGGCCCTAGGGCCGTCGGTTTCCTCTGAGGATCAAGGAGCGGCAGCATCAGTGTCAGCCTGCAGTGGGCCCAGAGGAGCTGTGAGCTGCAGCAGCAATGCTTCATGTCAACCTAAGGAGGAGATGCTGAGGCTCAGGGACATGGATGGACGATTGGTAAAGCAGGATCACCAGCTGCGTGAGCTCATCATCTTAAAAGAAACACAGGTAAAGGATGTCCTTGAGCTTTGCAGTACTAATATGTGTATATGGTTTGTCTGTGTGGTCATAGAATCTATGATCACAGTTGTTGTCTCTGTAATGTATCTTGCCTGGCTGCATGTCACTATCATCTGTTTCTTATGAATCACAGTGCAGACATTTAATGTGATGTGTAAGCAGATCAATGTCTTAAACTTCAAATATTATTAGATTTGAATGTTTTTTATGATTTTATGCAGAGCTAGCTATTATTTTTCTGATGGTTCGAGTTCTTGGCAGCACATTGTCTCACCTTTGTGTGAGCACAGACATTTTAGATATTTTTATCACAGTCCACACAGCAAGCGTTTCAGTTGCATTTTTCAGTAACTCGTCTCTCAGTCTGTCAGGCCTTTTCCTCCATTTTAAACACGTTACTACAGTGATTGTGTATTGGGCTGAAGCTGTCGTTGCTTTGCTAACTTGCTGCTCACGCTGCACCTCCTGTGTAGACACAGTGTAAGCCTTTGTCATTTGAAACTGCTGTCCCGTCTCATCCACAGGCTGGCCAGCTTGCAGAGCTCAGGCGTAGAGTGTCAATTCTGGAGGAGACAGTGAAGGAGCTGGAGTGTCAGCAGTGTCACGGTATCTTTGTCTGGCGCCTCAAAGGTTTCTCTGGCCACCTGCGGAGCCAAGAAGCAGGCCTGCCAGTGGTTGAGCACAGCCCCGGCTTCTACACAGGCCGACCAGGCTACAGGCTGTGCCTGCGCTTACACCTGCAGACCCCCAACGCGCCGCGCTGCTCCAACTATATCTCTCTCTTTGTCCACACCATGCAAGGAGCTTTTGATGGGCAGCTGACCTGGCCGTTCCAGGGCACTATTCGCCTTGCCATCCTAGACCAGGGCCCCGAGGGTCAGCACCACACAGAGGTGATGGAGACTAAACCAGACCTGCAAGCCTTCCAGAAGCCCACCATCCAGCGCAACCCCAAAGGATTCGGCTACGTCACCTTTATGCACCTGCATCAGCTAAATCAGAGAGCCTATGTTAAAGATGATACTCTACTTATCCGCTGCGAGGTGACACCACGTTTTGACAATATGCATCACCGCGAGGGGCCGACAGTGCAGCCTAGAGGACCCGAGGCCTCAGTGTCGAGGGACTAAAGTCAGACTCATATCTCCTTGATGATCACCATGCCGAGATGTCAGTACAATATATCCCTCAGTGTTTAAATACCGCTGACTTCATTTTAATTGATGGACAGGAGGAGGTTCAAAACCATTTGAAATTCAGATGTCGCAAGTATGTTAGTATTTATTTGTTTGCTAACTTTTATGTGTCTATGTGATTTTTGTTTTAAATAAATATACAGTACAATTTAAATTAATTTTAAAATGTATATACTCACCCACATGGTACCAGCATTCAGCAAGCCTCATCAGTCCAATGGTCAGTAATATTTAATCAGCTCAACATCACCAGTTTAAGATATTCACTTGCTGCCTTCGGACTGAATATTACTATGAGATTTGTTGGAGACAGCACAGGATGTTAAAAATGTGTTTGGCACTATGGGACAATGTTTTTAATGAGCAGATTATTGTAGTTTTTACCTTATCCTCTATTAGCACATGCACAAGAATCCATATGTATGCACAGGGACATGTGGGTGATGTGATAAACATTCTCAACGTCTGCAGAAGATTAGATTAGAGAAGATCAGAACAGAAATTAAGCCCCAGGAACAGCACCGGGCTGTGTGGCAAGTGGCCGCAGTTTGAATTGTCAAATTGGGTCCAAAAAGACATTTTCCGATACCAAATCATATAAAGGAAATGACTGTAGAACAGACATGCTACAGACACTGAACTGACTCCTCTTATGATCACAATTTGATCTTTGTCCAACAAAAATAAAACATCTGAAAGCCAGACAAGGATGTGCAAGTGAACTGAAGGAACATTTTCTGTGTATGTGCCAGGTGAACAACTTTGATTGGAATGAAAGGGGTGCAATCTGTTGCAACAAGTATCTCTCGTTATATATCTATAGGTGAAACAAGATACAGAAGGGTATCATGTCAGCTGGAGAAGAGGAAGCGGCAGCGAAGAAACAAGTCTGGCCATGTCCACACAAAAGGAGAGCTACTGTACATGATGCCCCTTGGTTCTATGGTATTAAGACATGGCAGTAATATAGTTAGCAACTTACAGCAAAAAGTGAAGAAGAAAACTACTAGCTGGCGTTAGCCTATGGATATTTGGAAACAATGCAAGTTTCAAGAGTCTGCTTTGAGGCAGGAACTGTACTTAAAGGTACAATACATACAGTGAATTCTGATGAGAAACAGAACCGAAACTGTAAACATAACATTTGGTTTACACCAGAACCCCAGAGGGTAGTTATTAACTGAACTCATTGTGAGGAATAGGAGCAGCAAAACTCACATTCATGTGCTTTCCAAATTCAGCATTTCATGCTTCATTACTTTTGACTACTGTTCTTAGGGCATCACTGTGACATAAGCAGCAGAATAGAACCGCACAACAGCATAATACTGTACAGATGTGCAGATTTGTCAGTAAGTTGCTCATTTTGCTTTTGATAGAATTTCTGATGTCGTTCAAACAAGTTCCTACCTAATGGGGCCTAGAAAAATATATCAAGAGTAGACGTAAATCCAAAATCATGGATCAGTGTCTTTCCTTTAAAACCACATGCTGCCTTAAGCCTTTACGTGATGTAATAAATATATTGTATTTTTAGTTTTAGTCTTGTTCCTCCATTTGTAACATCGAATTGTGATTTTGCCTTTCAAAGTAATTGTGTAAACTGACTGTGTAAACCACGGGTCTCAAACTCAAACTGGCTTGGGGCCACTGCTGGTATTGTCATCTCATAGGAGAGTAATATTCTGAAAATATTGACATTACTAACATCTTACAAAAAATAAAACATACAAACAACAGTTTGTATACACTTTATCTCATTTTAAATCATCTTTGTTCACAGCCAAATAGCAAATGAATACCTGAAATCTGCTCTCTTTTTATCAACTGTTTGCATGCATTTGTGGGCTCCTTTGACCTTAAAAATAGAATAGTGTTTTTATTTTTAATGGTTTAGGAAATTATAGATTAAATTCATGTGAAATAATAAAAAAATATATTTCCGGCCAGGAGGGAGGGGGATGGAGGGCCAGAAATTGCCCCTGAACCGGCGGTTTGAGATCCCTGGTGTAAACAATGATCACTCTTAATGTTATTAACTGAATGGGGTTATTTTTTGAATACCCCTATTCAGTTAATTATATGATACTGAGGAAAATAGCCGTAAGTTAAAGCTAAGCTCAGAGCCACTGTAATGTCTGACATTTCATGTCTTATACTGACTTTGACCATACATTAAAACAATATGTAGTTTTATTTCTGTGTTCATTTTCATTTAAACTAAAGAACCAAGCTGTTACACCATCCATTAGTGACTCGTTTGACAATATGTACCTTTTGCGGCACTGAAGGAACTTATATTTCCAATAAGTAAGGAACAGTTAGAACACTCTTGAAAACATGCTTGTAATTTATTAAAACAACAGGTAGCTTTAGAAGTATTATTAATGTGTCTTGATTGCAGAGCTGTAATTCTTTTATATCATTATGGTTTAGTAACTCTTTTAAAACGTGAAAGCTTAATTTGCAGAATGAATGAAAATAATTAACTCTTCTGAATACACCAACATCATTTTATTAAATTAAAGTCCAAACCAAATCAATGTCCCCTTCCCCCCAATTACACCATCATCATACTTATATTAATATTATATAATATTCTAAACATCTTTCATATCATATCATTATTAGCTGTCTGGGTGACACTAGTTAGCACTGTCACTTTCATTCATCAATGTAAGGAAATTTTTTGTTTGCACCATATCCTGGGGGACCTGATCTTGATCCTGATCCTGGTTTGGCTGCCCCCCCTTCTTGTTTGACTTCTTTCTCTGGTTGACTTTGAGGCACGTCATTGGTGCTGGTTGGCTGGCTGCCTGTTAGAGACACTGAAATTTCATGCCTGATTAATATTAAATTCAAAATACACAGAGTAGTGTGAGAGTATATTCACAGTATAGTACTGTGTGAGAACACAGAACAGTATTGTCTGTCTATTCTGACTCAATTAGGAGTCTTTCCTGTTTCTGATTTTTGTCTCACTTGGAGCTCTCGGGGCTTCTTTCCCACACTTGAGTGTGCTTTGAGCGAAGCACTCTGCCATCCAGGACAACACCTCTCCACAATATCTGACCTAGAGAAAAAACCAGAAATAGGTTCATGAGTTTTATGTGAAATTGGCTGCGAAAAATTCTAACTGATTATGTGTCAGATGGAGCTGTTGAGGTCACTTTTCCAGGTTTACCTGAGCCTCCGTGGATACCAGTCGTTTCTCTTGGTCCTTGAACCCACCGACAATCCTCAGCAAGCTCTGAACCCTTGGTCACAACAAGAATGTGTTAAAACCAGATACAATGCTACATTAATAATTTCTGTACCACTAGGGGGTCTGTAGAGCTTTATACAAGCTACAGATTGGTGCTGCTTGGTGTCCAGTGAGGTTATCAGAGCTTGTTTGCAGATCTTCTCATAATATGCTATTTTTTTTTTCAAAATTGCAAAATAACAATTACTTGGAGGAGGTACTCTTGAGTCTCTCTTCACTGCTCTCCCAATGCTGGCGTTCCAGTTTGGCCAGGTAGTTCTCTTTCTGCACCGTTTCCCATGTTATCAGCCTCTGGTCCAACCCTGCCGGCAGCTCTCTCTCTGGCAAAACACACACACACACACAAGGAGGTAGTCCAAAAACCAATTAACTAAGAGGCAATTTCCATGGATAGAGCAGGTAAAGGACAGAGATAAGCACACAGTGTGTTATTCAGTATTGCATTTAATTTTAATTTAGCCTGATAAACCACAAGGAACTTAGTATCTGAAATAAAGCAGACGCTTAATAGTTCCTTATGTAAATGTGCTGAAATATGCACATAAAACTTTCGTACCAAGATGTTCCTGCTTTGACTCAGGCTGTTTGACCAGGCTGAGGAGGAGCTGAGAGAGATGGCTGATGATGATGAAGGGCGGGGCCAGTGCTGGACGGCTGTGGTATTCCACAATCAGGTTGTATCTCTGGAACTTCCAGAAGATATCCGTGTTACCCTGCACTACCTGGAATGTGTAGCTGCAAATGAGGGAAAAAAGAAAAAAAAATTATAAGTACAAAGAAAACCACTACAGAAGTTCAACTCATCTTGTCAGATAGACAAACTTTGATGGTTGTTATGATTTCCAGCCCCTGACCTGAACATGGCAATGAGCAGGTTTAGCAGCAGGACATTGGTGACAAGAAGGAAGATAACCAGCAGCAGGATGACCAGCCAGTTGGCATAGATGTTAGGACATGGCGGCCGTAGGCCCAGGCTAATCTCATTTGAGTCGTTGGTGCAGTTAATTTCAGGCATGCGAGCAGCTGTGCTCCGTTTAATGAAAGAACAGGAAAATTCGATTATGAAACATCACATTCAGGCCAACAGAAAGCCATCTCTGATTGATATGCATAAATGATCAAAATACAACATTACACATGACAATAAACTGCAAATTTTCCATGGATCAACACACATTTAAAGGTCACACTTTCTTTACACTTATATGCATCTACTGTAATTTACCATCTATTTCCTCCAAGGGGATCTGACCAAAAATGTGCAGGTAGGGGCGGTACAAGGCTCTGCGAAACACCCAGTCAATCCTTGGGTCATTGGGGTGGAGAAGAGCCTGGGTGGCAACACCGTACGCAATGAGCCACACACTCAGGAAGAAGAGGAAAAAGAAAACATCCTTCATCTGTAAAGGAGAAACAGATTCGTCTTTATGTCTTCTTAACAGGCCACATTATCATCTATGGTCTATGACCATGTACATCACTTAAGATTTTCATATTTCAAATGTTTAGATAGTAGTGTTTCATTTGGTCACCATTCTTTCCACAATGATGATTTTGGGGCCCAGCTGCTTATGAATGGCAAAGATGTGGATCAGACGTAGAGTGAATACCATGAAGTCTATTGCAAGAACTGTTCTTCCTGCCTCATAGGTGTTATCCGCCATTCTGCAAAATAAACAACAAATAATCAACATTACTTACTGTGCAGCTGATTCAATTCTAACCCTTCTTTATTTCATTCATTCGCTCACTACTTTATTTTAACGCTCTAGCCTGGACCATTAAATCTAGAGCATCCACGCTGTTGTGGTATGGTATATATTGTCATAAATGTAATTTAATGTGAATTACCTGCATGAAACCCCAACAACAAAGAGTAAGATGGCAACCATGTCGCATTTGTTCCAGTTGTCCTCTACATAGAGTTTGAACTTCTTCAAGATGCTCATCTCTTCATCCGTGAAGAAGCTCTGTGTCATAGAAAAATAGTTTATGTATTATTATAAGACACAATTAATTGGACATTTTTGAGCAAATCTAATAAAGATAGTTTGTTAGAAAATGCTATCATTTTCCAGCAACCTTATCCCTGGGATGAAAAGTATGAAAAGAATTATTTTTGTTACAAGAATGAGCCTTGCTTACATTTCTGATTCCAACATTGTTTTTTGCATATTCTTTATAGCATTAGTAATTTGATAGAAAGTAATATGTGTAATAGTGTGAAATTAAAATATACTATATAGAATGCGTAGTTTTAATATGTTTTTTATTTATTTTTATATTTGGATTATTTTGTGCTGTTAGCTCATGTAATGGGACTGAAATATTAATTGTTATGAACATATAAAATTAGTTTTAAATTGAGGTTGTGTGCTACTGTATAGTTGCCTCTTTGAATGTAAATGTATTCACAGCCTCTTTTTAAACTCTTTTTAAACCATCTGTTATGTCTGAACTGAGTTTTATTTTTTTTTTCTCTGTCATTGCTGAATAATAGTTTTATTATGCCCTCAGCCAGGTCACGCATCGAATCCCTATTCAGACACACCTGCAGCTCTGATGCTTTAGAAGCACCTGCAGTGTCCCAGATTCTTTATTCTGTAAAATAATCTTTGACACTTAGAGTGTAAGGCTGAGTTGTCACCTGTGGTTTAAACAGGACACCTGTAAGTGCATCAAGAACCAGTGCCTGGTCCCTCTGTGGCACAATTGGTTTGAGAACAAGCTGAGGGCAATGTGCTGCTTTCATAAAGTGACAGACTGGAGTGTAAGACCCGACTGTGAAATACTTTCAATTATAACTAACTAATGCAGACAACATCAAACAAATGGCCAGGATGGTGGACTGATAGGAAATCAAAATATATACATAATATGCATGTCCACACATACAGCTGCCATTTGGGATCACATTGCCCTCTCAAAGTACTCTGCAAGATACAGCTGTCTTAATCAATATCACATCCGCCGCCTGAATCTACTTCTAGCAGAGTACCTCAGATCTGTTCAGTTTCATCGTGTTTAAGAGACAGAATTCCCCAACAAATGTTCTTCCTTCGCTATTTATTAGCAGCACTGCTGATGGTGTCTGAAGACTTCAGAATATAAATATAAATTTGTAAATTGAGCTGGAAGTTTCTGTAAACTGAGCATAAAGTGTAGATACTAAGAGTAAACTGATCAAATACCTCAGACCTACCACAGATGAATTGGTGTTGGATTAATATATAATAAATTATCTATGTAAAACAATCCTGGTAATCTAAAATATGTCATAGACTAGGCTTTTAGCACTACAGTGTAAAGGTTGAAATATATGTATATAGGCCTATATAATATATATAATACATATAACATATTGATTGTCACAACTTTGTGAGACTGAGCAGCCTTACACCAGCTCATCTATCAGATTTAAAAAGCTGGCTGACCTACAGACTTTAACCTTGTTCTATGACAAGTGTGGTAAAAACAGGGGTTCCCTGTGGCACTGTCTTCCCTTAGGGAGAGGCATGCACCCCTGGGCTTGGTAGCAAGTCAGGGCAGCCTCTAGCAGAGTGGTTCTTTTTTTGTAATCCTGTCCCATAGTTCTGTTCAGCGCAGGGACTTTCTGAGATGCATGTTGAAAAAGAGAGCAAAGAGAACAGCGGGGAAGGCTTGGCTCATCTGGGGCTTTTGTGCCCAAGGGAAGAAGGCTCAACGGGATCATTGCAATAGGGGATCATGCTTGTCTGACCTGGTTCACTGGGAGGTAGTCAAGCAGAGAGGTAAAAGGCTCATGAATCCTTAAAACCCCAGAGACATTGAGGTCATTCTAGTGATTCACATCACCTCCTACTCACATATGTCTGACTTGTCAGGCCTAAACGCTGTACTAATGCAAACACATCTAACAAGTACTTCAAAATATGTGCAATACAGCATACTGTAGG